AGGAAAGGGTGGAATGTGAGGCTAGCAAGGCAAGTGCCCACAGAAGGGAGGCAATAGTCAATTAGGTGATAACAGGAGAAATGCAAATTCTGATGTTTGCCTGTTGTCCAGGGAGCAAAGAATCAAGCTCCCCCTGGTAGCCTCTAGCAGGTTAAAGTTACAAGTAGTTTCTAGACAGTGCAGAGTCTGTACATTAGAACAAGGTAAATGCAGTTCCTCTTCAGCAGTTATCAGCAAGTATGTATAAAGAGAAGGTTCGATCTGTGAGGGCTTTATAGCAACCAACTTATATGCAAGATTCTTAATGGAAAGTCGAAGGCGTTTGTCCTTGAATAACTTCACTGTTCTCTTTAAAGGCCTGACTCTTGTCTTCTCTTGGTTTTCACTTGGCTTTAGGCTTTTAGTGTTAAGTAGGAGGTCCAATTTTATGAGCAGTTTGAAATACAATAATTAGGATATATGTCTGAAAATGGTGGAAAATAACAAATTCACCATTTGCAAAATGCCCAAAAAGCAGTCTCATCCTTTTCTGCTTGAGGCATTGTATGGATCAGCTTGTCAAAATTATTTGCAGGCTGCAAGATATGAGAGTGAAAGATGGTAGCTGTTAGGCAGAGGTTAATTGCCTGTATGCACTTACTGAGAATTTACAGTTTTATGCTGTCACATCACAAAGAATTGAGAACTGATGCTTCTGAAACTGAATTCCAGTCTTCTGAAAGCATTAAAAGTGTTTCGTGTTCATATCATGCATTATCTCACCTGCAATCAGCATGTAGTACCAGATATTTTGTGTTAGATGTTAAATTTTATTCCCCTGCTTGCTGACAATAACTTCTGAAGTGAATATTTGCTGTAGTAGCAACTTTTCTGCCCTTCTCCTTTCCAACATAGGCATTTTGCTCTAAAACTAGTCAGCTTTGTCTTCAACTCCTGGTGAGTGATGCTGTGGTCACTCCTGGAACAGTGACATCACACCAATGCTTTTGTATTTGAAAGAACTGCCAAAATATCAGGACTGCTCATCACTTGAATACTGGATTTAACAACTATACTGTGTCATCTTTATAGCAAATAGTCTATGGGGTGAAATGGGAGTGTTTTCAATATTTGACGTGATACTTTGAGATTATTGAGCAAAAGGCATGGATAAACAGGCTGCTGAGGATAATATCCTTGTTCATGCCTTCTGTGCTGTAACCAGAGCCCCTGGAGCTGACTTGTGCCTTGTCTGCTTTCTAAGCATTGCCACTTCTAAATGTTGTTACTATTTAAACTATCTGAAATTTCTGTAGTTGCCTATATTTTCTACGAGGCTCCCAACATGCTAAATCATGAAAGCTTAGCCTTGAAATTACTTTTAGGGACAGAAAAACCACCAAAGAAAGGTGATCCTTGGTCCTGACATGCTACAAAGATTTATGAGTCCATAATGATGCCGGACAGATCTAAGTTAAAATGCTTTTGAGTCAGAAATGTTTCTGTCACTTCCATCCATACTTAATGAATGCTTTTCATCTTGATAGAATCTGCTCTTGTGACTTCTCCATGTGAATAATAAATAAAATATATATGTTTTTGGAAGTGTTTGTACAGAAGTGCACAATAATCAGATTAAATCAGTACATTCATAATAAAGGTGACTTATCTTGGATATTAATTTTAAATCTGTCTTGTTAGACAGCCAAACTGAATCTCCACCTCTGAAATATTTAACCCATGGTTAAAGCATTTAAACCCTCATTTGACTTTTAATACCTGACATTGACCAGTTTTCAAAATGAAGTGGTATTTTTAGCCACTCAGTAATAATTCATCTTTTCCTGCTCTCTTGTGTATATCGCAGAGCAAGTATGGTATGGAATTGTCAGGCAAGGCCATATGTTAAACACGTGGCCTAAGTTTGTCAGTTAGGAACTTTTAGACATATTTTTAATATTAACAAAAGCCACAAACTCTGTGTGTGCAGTACTCAGTATCTTTTGTGACAGACTTAGTTGCTCCCTGACAGAGATATAGAAAAGTTCTGCTTGAGACAGTGGGAGTTGTGACCAGAAGAACTTTTATAATGGCTACATGTATGCAGTGGCTGTGGTTGGTGCCTCATAGCTTGCCCCAGGTTGTCATTAGCTTAGAGTAAGAATATTGATATGTTGTGCCCAATTTATTGTTACTCGTCAGAACTTTGAGAGGAACTTATAATTGCACAAACAGTAAGACAAGGTGAAATAGGGTGTGCAGACTTGTACATAGGGAGAATGCTTTGTCTGCCTACTTGGAACCAGGTGGCAGAGTTTGTACAGTCTGTGTGCATCCCTGCAAAATTATCGAGGAGGATGGATCGAAAGCTGTAGTAGAGAACAGTCCTTTGATGTTGGTCATGTGGCAAAACCCCTGCTTTCAAGGTCAGCCAGCTTTCACACTGGCTGGTCTGTGCCAGCAGCTGCATGAGATCTGTCCCCAGCTTGAGGACAGATCTCATCTTGGGGTACTCAAGAGGGTTGCAAGTTGCTGTGTTCAAAGTGGTCCTTTTGTCTTGTTTCCATCAAAGTGAGAATAGCTGCTTACTGTTGGGCTTTGGTTGAGTCACCAAAAGGCCTGGTTAGTCCTGGCTTGTCCTTGCCCTTAGTTCAAAGATGTGGCAGTTGGTAAGAGGACCTGCTTGTCATCTTGCTGGTTTCTATAGTCTCATGTTTGGGACTAAGTTCCTCTGGATGTACTGACAATATTGGCTGTTCCCTTCACCTCTGCCCTGTATCTGCCTCCCTCAGAGGCAGAAAATGTCAGTGGTGTTACGTCTTCTGTAAGTATTTTAGTTTTGCCTTCCAAGTTTAGACTGGCCCAGAGACATGAACATAGGAGAAGGAGTACACATGCTACAAAGATCCTTAAAACAGTAAAGCCCCACAGGTGTAGATGGAAAAGAAACAACAAAATGGAAGTTTTTCATTGATCTGTAGTGGGATCCCTTGAGGACAAGAGTGAAAAGGATTCTGTCTCCTTTGACCAGCCAAAGTGCTGCATGATCTTTATTCTGCTGTAATTGCATGGAATACTGCAAGGCAGTGGAAACTGGGGAAGGTCCTAATGGAAAATGAATGAGTTTTTTGGAACCATGACAGTAAATAGCAAAGAACTGGGTTAGAAACTGAGAAATAAAAGGTAATATCTAATGAAAAATTCCAGTGGCATTAAATGTTCTTATTCCCTTTATGCTTTCTATGGGCTTTGTTCTCTAACATTTGGGTAATATTACTAATGTGATTCTTCCCACTGAGCTGCTGTTCTGGTTAGCAGCATGATGCACATCCTGATGTTTGCAGGGTTAGAGGTCTTTGGTTTTGTTATGGAAGTCCAAATATGCTGTGTGGCTGGAATGTAATACCTTTTGTGCTTGTTTCACTAGAGCGACTTAAAAATAATGCAAAGAAACAGGTCAAGGCTGAACATAGAAGGTGAGGAGGGAACACAAAATTTCCCTGAAAAGTGGGAAATAAACAGCAGTTGTCTTTAGGTGTTACAAGTCTGTAGGGATTAGATAAATAAGCCTTTCCTTGTCACCCACTGAGAGAAGGAACTTCATCTTGAAACTGAAGAAGCTGTGGGCCCTCAGGGCTGCATCTTCAGATCTGCTCTTACCTTCCAATTTCCTTTGCTTCTTGAAATAGGAAGGTAGTGTAATTTGCTTCAGTCAGAGCTGATTTTTGCTGTTTGACACACATTGTCTGTCTGGATGTGTCACCTAAGAATAGGGAAAGGTATTGATATTTTTGGAATAGCTACTGTAGGATCATCTTGCGAAACACAGAGCCCTATCTATCTTGGTCAAGTGCAGAAACAGACTCCTCAAAACAGCTGCTACT